AAAGTGTTTGCAGTTTACATATTTTGAGGGAGTTTTTTTCTTTTTCAAAAAAGAATACCCGCTTACTCGCATCGCGACTGACGGCTGGCGGCCGTCCCGAGCACAATAATACATTTCTCCCACTATGGCGCTCGATCATCGCTGATCAAAACTGTCTGACATGCATACACCGATTTCAAATAAATTGTATACAACGGTTGCGCAAGAGTGTAGCTTACACGTAAATTATAGTTGTGCTAATTGGAACCGGCTGTATGCAGGCACGGCGCCAAGGGGGGCAAGGTGGGGCTCTAGCCCCCCCAGAAAACAAAACAGCCCCCTCGCCAGCCCCCCCCCCCCACTGAAAAATATGTACGATATAATTAATGTTTGTTGTATACAGTTAAAAATATTTTTAGTTGACTTATTATTTTAAATATGTTTATGTTTGATTAACACAATACTATTGTGTAAGGAGTTGGTATTCGTACCTACCTATACTTATATTAGTTTAGTAATTAGCATGACAAATTTCTAATTTAAAATAATTAAATAATTTATTCAATTTTCTTATTTTGTTATTTTTATAATCTTATTTGTCATGGTAATTAGTTCACATATTACTTGATAATTAATAAAAAAGGATTTCTTAAAGTATCTATGTTTTAATGTATACATGCCAATGTTATATGCCTTGTGGCTTGTATATAGTTCATATGAACTATTTTAACCTCAAAAATTTAACAAAAAATATAAAGTAGGTACTTCAATAGTCAATGCATACACTACTATGCAAATACCAATTTAAAAATGTATTGAATTAAAAATTTAAAATGTACTAGTTAAATATAAGGTAGGTAGGTAATCAAAAGTTTTTATTTAAAACAATTTGTATTCCTACTGATATCAGTGCAATTGTATACATTTTTGTTAACTTTTTCAATATTATAAGATTTTCAATCATTTACTGTATGGTGCATAAACAGATATTGTATAAAAAATCAATATTTAGCTCATAAAGAAATTATTATTTTTGTATATCATGTTATCATTATGAATATAGTTGTTGAAGGTCTTAGGTCTGTGATTAAACATTTTCTTACATATTACAAAAGTTACAAAAAAAATATTTGATATTATTCTTTTTTTTTTTTTTTTTTTTTATTAAAAGAATAATTACAATCTATACAAACATATGTACAATAGGTAATTTTTTTGATTGACAATAACGTTGAATTACCGAGAGGGAAGGTACTCAGTAGTACCACCCGACAGATCAAGCAAGGAAATCTCTAGGCCAAGATCGTTTCAATCTTCTTCTAGGATTATCGGGAATTGTACAAGAAGACAGACGTTTAATTAATGGATTAGTATGGTGATTAAGCTTAGAATGGAATGAGAGGAAGTGGGATTTGGTTAGCTGAGAAAGTGTGGGAACGTTTAAGTCTTTGTGAAGATTGGCGTTTTTTATATACCAAGGGGCAGAAGCGATTTGACGGAGACATATTGATTGGAAGGCTTGTATAGTTCGTAGGTTTGAGGGTTTCGCGGAGCCCCATATCTGGATACCGTATGCCCATACAGGTCTTAAAATAGCTTTGTAGATTAACAATTTATTGCTGATGTTTAGTTTGGAGCGGAGAAGTGGACGGAGCAAGTGAAGTCTAGAGTTTACAGATTTCCTTTTGTTTTTGAGGTGTTGAGCCCAGGTGAGTCGTTTATCAAACGTTAGGCCCAGGTATTTGACTACCTATTTGACTACCTGACTTGAATTAAGTTATTATTGAATGAAACTGGAGGGCAGTCTCCAGGTCTTAGTGAAAAGGTAATAAAGGAGGATTTGGAGTCATTTATTTTTATTTTCCATTTTTTTGACCAGATCTGGATCATGTTTAGATGATTTTGTAACCTATCAGACACAGTTTGAGGGTTGTCATTTGAGGCCAGGATTATTGTATCGTCGGCGTATGTGCCTAATGATGTAAGTAAAGTTTTCGGAGTGTCATGTGTAAATATGGTGTAAAGGAAAGGCGCTATATCGCTTCCTTGGGGGACGCCAGCCAAGATAGGAAAGTTAACCGAGTAGCTGTTGTTCACTCTAACTGAGAAGGTTCGATTTTCAAGATAAGACTTGATAATAAGGTAATATGGAGCAGTGAGAAATTTTTTAAGTTTATAGAGTAGGCCATCATGCCACACTCTGTCGAAGGCTTGGGCCACGTCTAGCAGGACTGCAGCACAGTAGTGCTTGGATTCCAGACTAGTAGATATTAAGTCGACAGTACGAAGGAGTTGGTGGGTGGTTGAGTGTTTAGCCCTGAACCCAAATTGGTGATGTGGAATGATGTTAGCTTTGTCTGACAGTGGGAGAAGTCTTAGATAAAGATATTATTCTTAAAACATTTTTAACTATTCAAAAGTTTGTAAATATTATATGTTTAGACGTTTAGAGCATACAATATAAAACGTATGTACTATATAGCTAATAGCTATATTATGTTATATGATACGAAAATATTTATATTTCATTTAAATAACCTCAGCATTTGTTGAAACAATTTTAGCCCATGTAAAAAAAATATTTGCCCCACTCTGCCCCCCCTGGAAAAAAAATTCTAGTGCCGTGCCTGGCTGTATGTAATTCACATGAACTGGTGGCGGTAGCGCACTCGTCGCGTACCGTAGGTGCTTGGTGCGGGAGCGCGCGGCAGAACGTTGACCAGTCTGACTGACTGGCAGTCATGAAAGCCGGTATAATATTCTTTTTTGAAACAGAGTATCTATATATAATATCTTTTGTCTACAACTATCTACCATTTGCCAAGTGCCAACAATTATTATATTGTGTTGATACTTGATCGGGAGACGGGAAGTACCTATAATAATTAATAATAGTTATATTTATACATTTTATTATCGTGATTGAAACTATTGCATCGGTGATCGGCTGATGGTCGGGTAGTGTCGCCGTAGTGGGGAGTGGGGTAAAATTATTAATAACGTACGATAGCCGGACTATGGACTATTTTCATGTTTGGTTACTGGTTATTGTTATTGTGGGCATTTCTTGACTGTTTTTAATTATTTCATCCATGAAAGTATAGAAAAATAAATATATTATTGTCAAACGTCATTTTCAACTGTCATCCTGCATAGTGCATTCACATTTCACCATTTTCTCAGCGTCTGCCGTTGTGTCGTTGTGTTCTAGTGCCGTTTTTTGCCGCGTATACGTTATAGGTAAGTAAATTAATTATTTAATTACCAATAGGCTATATTCAATTATTATATAGCATTATTTAATCGTAAATTGTACTACTACCATTATAGCTGTACATAGATGTATTGTAATAAATATTATTAAACTGTATTAAAGTATAGTAAACACTTCTTCTGGCTCAATTAAAACTATGGTATGCATGAAGTAAAATGTTAATAGTACCTACATTTTTCGCATTGTTAGGTAGGTATTATTTATGAAATGTGTTTAGATACCTAAGAATTCCTTACAGTTTCACATAGTATTTGCAGGTATACCTACTAAAACCGTTAGTATGACGGACACAATTATAGGGCTTATAGTCTTTAATAATTATGGCATCTGGATAACAAAAATTAATTTTTGACAGATAAGGTACCTAGGTATTTTGCTATTTATGTTTTCATTAACAATATTGTATCAGAGATTCTCAGGTACTTTTATAGATCCCCCATTTCATTAGCTCAGGAAGTGTAAATTATACTATGTTTGTTATAAGTGGCGTGGCGAACTAAAAAATTCCAGAAGCAAGTTAAAAATATTTCAAGTATTAATATAATATATAATTAATTATATTTCAGATTGTTGTTGACTACCTATTGAGTATATCATATCACATTTACTAGGGGACCCACCGGTTACCACCCACCCCTCTACTTAAGAAAAATCTCAGAAATGACGTTCACCACGCCACTGTTATAAAATATTAACCATAATAGGATGTTGCCCTATTCACACACAAACACATATTCCAATTTAGTGTTCAATTAAAATCTTTACTTGCACATAAAAAATATTGTAACAATTCTATATTAGGTATCATTAAAATATTTTTTTTATTTTGTTGGGTATATTCAACCTTATACCTATTTTTATATAGATAATAGGCACCTAACTAAACCTATACCTGCCTACATAATATAGTTTACTCTCAAAAATATTCATAGGTACATTTTATTTTTCTATCATAAACTGTAATATCAATATACATTTATAATATTTAAAATGTTGTTGGTATTAATAAAATAATAATTATTTATCTACTACTTACATATTATTTACCTGTATTCGATATTACATTTTATTCATATTTGGTAGATAACTAACATTATTTAAAGATTTATGTAGGTATATTTTATATGATTTTAATTCTTCCTATCTACTTTTTCACCTTAAAATATTGTATTTAATGTTTCGCTCATTAGAATATAATAGCTTAACAACAATTACATATGATACCTACCTAGCTACTATTTAAGTAGGGAATAAGTAAATCTTAAATTTCAACTACTGATTCCAAGTTGTTTATTTGTTATGTAAAAAGTAATTAATATTTAATACTTATATAATTGTTATTTTTTAAATTTTACTTATACATGTTAACTATAGCTTATACTAAAAAGTTAAAATAATAATTTACTAGCTCATTTTTTTTCTCATATTCGTTAGGTAATATTAACATTTTGAATACTTCTCGGGTAGATATAAATACTTTTTTTTAATCTATATTAAATTTATATTTTTAGGTCAAATCTAAATGTGTTTATAATAATTCTGAGTACTATTGTAGTGAACTTATAAGTGATATAAGTGAAGTTATTTTATAAAAGTGAGTATCTTTTTAGATTTTATAAACCTTAAATAAGTATTATATAGTATTATATATCTAAATTATTTTTTAGTTTTTACTGTTTTGTATTTTATATTTTTATATTACAGGCAAGCGTAGGTACATATATATTTTATCATTTCACCACATAAAATGATTTTGAGTGAGCGTACAAAAAAAAGAAAAATTAAAAATGAAATTGATTATACACTTAATGCAATTTATGGCAAATCTAATGATATTTTCCAAGAAGTTTCTCCATCAGTTAATTTTTGTGATAATAATGAATCATTAGATACAGTACTAAATGTATTATCTCCAACAGTGTCTTCTCCAATTACTAAAATTCCAGAAATAATACTATTTAGTACTTGTACTTCCAATACTTGTCCGGAAGAAGTAACTGATATTCTGTGTGATAATGTTGGAGAATGTTCAATTATTCAACAAGATTTTTCATTAAGAGACTTCCTAGCATCATGGGCTCTTAATTTTAACATTTCGCATATAGCTTTGAATGGATTACTAAAGGGATTAAAAAATCATAAATGTTTTAAAGATTTAACGGTTGATAGTAGGACTCTGTTATCGACTCCAAAAAGTATTTATCAGAGTATACAAACTATTATTCCAGGAATTTATCACCATTTCGGATTGTCCTCTGCAATTTTGAAGTATACTCCCAACAATGTTAATGAGGTCAATATTGCCATAGGTATTGATGGCGTACCTTTGTCAAAGAGTAGTGGTGGTCAATTTTGGCCTATTTTAGGTTACATTATTCCTCAAGACTCGTCCCGCAAAAATGTTTTTCCTATCGGCATATATTATGGATTTGAAAAACCAAATAATAGTAATGAGTTTCTTTCAAATTTTGTAGATGAAGCTAAATTCCTAATTAATAATGGTATTATTAAAAATAATATCACAATTAAAATTTCAATAAAAGTATTTTGTCTTGATGTACCTGCTAAAAGTTTTATCCTGCGTACAAAAGGTCACTCTGGATTCTCATCGTGCACAAGATGTACAATTGAAGGAGAATACATAAACAACAGAGTCTGTTTTCCATACTCACATGTGCCATCAAGAAATCATCAATAAACTCGACGAAGACTTTCATACTTCTAATGAATTAACCGTTTAATTGAATTGCCCGGGTTTGATTCCATTAACTCTTTTAGTCTGGATTATATGCACCTAATATGCTTAGGGGTTATGAAGAAGCTTCTATTTCTTTGGACGAAAGGACCACTGAATGTTCGTCTAAGATCAAAGAGTGTGGACGATTTATCAACTTCTTTATTATCATTGAAAAATTGCATCACCTCAGATTTTGTTCGAAGTGTAAGAAGCATGAAAGAATTATGTCGCTTTAAAGCCACAGAATTTCGAACCATAATTCTTTATGTTGGTCAAATTGTTTTCAAAAATGTTTTAAGCAACAAATGCTATGAACATTTTATGACTCTAAATATTTCTATGTTAATACTCCTCAGTCCAGAAAAAAGTACACTGGTTGATTATGCTAGAGACCTTTTAAATTATTTTGTCAAAAGGTTTGGAGAAATATATGGTAGTTATCACATATCACACAATATCCATGGTCTTCTGCATTTATGTGATGACTATGATATGTATGGACCATTAGACAACTGCAGTACATTTGTATTTGAAAATTATCTGAAAGAATTGAAATCGTTAATTAGAAAACATGAGAAACCATTAACTCAAGTAATAAATCGTTTAGCTGAGAAAGATAATATAACTGCCATGCAAGAAATTAGAGAAATCACAAATAGACATGATAAGCCTTCTCAGGATATTATTCTGAAGCAGCCTCATACTAATGGACCTTTAGTTGACAATATATTTGGACCACAATACTATGATTTAGCTTATAAAAATATTCATATTAATGTAAAAAAAGAAAAAGATTCTTATATTTTAACAAAAGATAATACTCTGGTCAAATGTCTCAATATTGCACATTTAAACAACAAACCAGTATTAATAGGACAATTCTTTAAGTCTTTATTACCATATTACATGAAACCAATAGATTCCTCATTGTTGGATATATTTGAAGTCAAAAATCTTTCTAGGAACATCCATTATTGGGAAATTTGTGATATTAAAAAAAAAATTATGATTTTAAAACACAGCGGAAAGCTTATAGCAATGCCAATTATTCACTCGACAGTAGAAGATTAATTATGAAATATAACTTATTGTTAATTATATGTTTAGGTACAAATAAGTTATTAGAGTGATTCTTATCTTAATCGTGATATTTATTATTTTTATTTTGTTAGACGCGTCGTTTTGTAAGTGTATTTATTTAGTATAATTTTAAATACCAAGTGTTAGTATGATAGGTCTAGAAAATATAACTTAGTTTTTATATTATTCGATCAATTTACTTATAGAAAACATTTAAATTTGCTACACATATTAATACTTTAATTGTTTATGTTTGAATTAGTCATAAATTTATTTTTATGATTTGAATACTACGTATATTTAATAGGTAAAGATAATTATATTGTCATAACTATAAAGTAAGTCATATTTTTTAATATTACTTAATAGATGGAACTTTGGGATGTAGTACATTTTACATCAGAAAACACGGTAGAAGCTGTACCCTACACCTGGTTAAAAAAGTCAAAATGTGCATGGCCTAAAAATCCAAAATTGGTAAAAAGATTCATCTTAAATCATGTTAAACCAAACACCACGGAATTTTATTACTGCCCAGCAAAAAAATTGGGAAATAGGAGTTATGGTATGTTGCTTAAATATTTTTGGGTTTACTTTTATGAAATTAATTTAATATTAATATCATAGATTCATTGGTATTTGCTCAAATGAAGGCTGCAAAAGCTACATTTACTACGGATTTGTCCTCAACTGATGATGCACAATGTATGCCAAAAAAAATATATTCAACTAAACGTTATACTCTGAACAGTAAACAACAATCCGGTATAATTACAAATGAACCATATACCTGTCCACCAAAATATGATGGTAATATTATATTATATTTAAATTATAGGTACTTTTCATTAATTTAATATTTTTAAAAATAAATTTAATAACTTTTTTTGTTTTAGATTATTTAGAATCAAAACGTGAAGATTTAAGTAGTAAGGACAATATTGAACAAAACAAAGTTCATAAGCCATCTAACAGCTGTTCACCAAAATATACAAGTAATGTGTATTTTTTTTATTAATAGCTCTTTTTTTTTTAAATCAATATTTTTCTAAATTATTTGTTTAGTTACCTCAAAATCAAAAAATATGGTGTATGATAATCTGCAGGAACAGGATGACGACAGCAGTTATGACGATCTACATACTGATCCTAATTGGAAGTCAAAATCAGTTTTTAATAGTAATACATTTCTATAGTTTAGAAAATGTTATTTTGATAATTATTATAATTATATGTAAACCATCAGTTAATAGCGATGATGATGACATCGTTATTGGAACTCCATCAAAGGTTGATGAAGTAAAGGACCTATATTCGCCCGAACAAAACTGGAAAATATCAACTCATATTGTTGACACACCAGAACAATGTAATAAAAAAATAGTATCACATACTCCAGCTACTGATAAATGGACTGTAGACAAAACATTTGAGACAACATACAATGAAGAACCACCAGTAAAAAGAGTGCTGTTCAAAGATGTAGAGGATTCATACAAAAAACCAGGTTATTAATAATATTTATTAATAGTTCATATCATATCATTCACCTTACATAATTATATAATGAAATATATGTATATTTCATTAATATGACTAATAATAATTAATAGACAATAATTATAATTACAAAAAGTTTAGGAAATATAGGGTTACATGCAGTTACATCTGAATTATTACCTTCAAGTCGACAAAATAATAATGCCGTGCAGTTTAAGACTACTGAAGGTTAGTATTATCGAGGTATTTAAATACTCACAAATTTAATAGATACCATATTATAATAATAGCTAATATTGTATTTAAAATTGTAATAGCTGTTGTTTTCTACTTTAATATAAATAACCATCTTATATTTTTTCATTAATATAACCAAACAATAATATTATAATTTATACCTTTTATACATTTATATCCCTATATATTATACATTAATTATTTATTATGTTTAAAATGCATTAAATGTTCTAGATATAGATTTATTTGTCAACCAATATGTTTTTACAACTAACATGATGAGAAATATATTAATTTAATTTTTTGTGATCATTTAGCTTTTCAGACTTTTGTTGTCAACACACTTATTAATTTAAAATACGAAATCAATAACATCTCAAATGTTGTTCAATCCAACCATTTAAACATTGATTGTCCCCTTGCGAATGCTAACAAACATCCATAGATCTTTCAAACATAGAATGCAACATGTTTCCCATTGAAAATGAAGAAGATTTGTATATTTTTGAAAACAAAATCAAATTGGAAAATGGTTTTAGAGAATCCTTGGTAAATAATATAACATTTATATCTTTCAAAAACTATATTTTGCTTAATAACATCTTTATCCTAATGAAACCCATTTTTAAATATCTGCAAAGTCAGTGTTTTTTTTAGCTAATTCACAAATAAAAATTAAAAAATCTTATTTTTTCAACTGTATAGTTATTATAATATATGGTTTTGTTTATTATTCTTAATTATTTTACTATACTAATACCAGCTATTTTTCTTTTTCAGATAATAAAATTATCCGTTTTAACCGATAGCAATGATTTGGGAAATAGTGTCAGAAGGGTAATTGGTCGCATGGTTAAAGATGATGTATTAGTGAAATACTCTCTGTTTGGGTTTAAGAAGAAACAATGTTTTTCATCTTTATTAAGCTACCGTCTGATAATAGGTAAAAATCTAAATTTTAAATATCTTAAATCATTGATTATGTTTGGACCCTTATTCCCAAGTTATTAATTATTTTAGGAAATAGTTTTTCTCAATATCTTATTTGACTTACCTAATATTAATAGTACCGCATATACAATAGGTGGTACTACAGTTTATCTCTCAATTAATCTTTGAGAACCAAAATAGTATATTATTTCCTACAAGAAAATAAGTTGCTATTATCTCATATTTTACACATCAAAGTTATGATGCATATATTTAGTCTTATTAATTCTATATAGGTTCTTGGAGTAGGTACCTATTATACAATTATATGTATAAATAAATGGTATCTTATATTTGTAAATCACTAATAAAATATAGACAACAATTTTAATTTTAATTCAAAAACTACTATAATACGTAACGTAAATCATAATGCAGGTACCAAATTTAACAATATAATAAAATCCAATCGCATATAATGTAGTCTCAATGGAGGAAATTAACTTATTTGCAATGTGTATTGTGTACTATACATTATATGTTATCTCTGTATAACATAAATAGGTATCTCATATAAATTAAATTTTATCTGTGTAAAATAAATATAAATTATGATACTATAAATTGTTTTAGCTACCAACATATTATTTTAATTAATTAATAATAGTCATACTTTTTTTTTTTTCAGATGCGATTAGAACGAACATTAAATATAAAAATATTCCAGAAAAGGATATTGACAACTGCCTTGGCGTATGGCTTTCTCACGCACCATTTCGTCTTAAAAAAAAAAATTCAAACCAATCTAATAAATTGTGAACATTTAAATTAAAAATAATAAACAAGTGATGATATATAATAAAATTTACAGCTAATTTTTTTAATATTATTATATTTACTTATTCTTGTGAAAATATTTTCTGAATATTAGTAAATTATTAAATCTAAAACATTCATATGTGTTTTTGTGGTAATGTTAAAGTGCAATATTCTGGGTATGTTAGGAAACAATATTATGGAAACATATTTTTTTTTACCATGATAATTTTATCATAATGTTATTATAATGTTAACGAATCTTTCAATAACGTTACTATAATATTCTTTATAACATTATTACTACGATTATAACATTGTTTGAATATTGTGGTAACATAATTTTGCTGTCTGGGAAGTGTAAAACATATGAAAAAATTAGTATAGTATTAAAAATTAAATTATTCGTCGAAGTTATGGCAGATATAGATTAGTGTAAAACATACTATAAAAAAAAAAAACAAAAAAATAGTCAATGTAAATAATATATGTAAAAACACAGAAAACAGATTTTAAATGATATAAAAACATTTTTGAAATTGGTACTTACGACGACAGTTGTACACATAATCAACTATACGATTATTCGTTAGATATGATATTATGTTCAAATGTAACCAGCAATGTTATAATATATTAATATGTATAGGTACGCCTTATCTGTGTCCGATAAAGTTTTATTGGTTTACCCCATGAACATTAGAGGACAGCAGAACGAAGCGTAAAAACATGGTCCGAAATTCTGGCGGAATGCGATAATTCCAGACCACTTTTATATACACAGTTCGGCGTCCTTCCTCTAATGTTCATGGTTTACCCAATTAGTACCACAATTAGTTTAGCGACCACCTTATCATTACTTGCGATAAAGATAAGTTATAATCGATAATTGCACTGAATGTACGGATACAATATTCCAAATAAAATCACATACCGCAGTCGATATATATCGATATATCATTTTACTTAAAACTTAAAATGGATGTGGTGTTTTTAGAAAGTAAAAGAGGGAAAAAAATGATTGCTTTCAAGAACTATAAGTATAATTTTGGTTCGGAAAATATTACAACTGGTTTAATTCGTTGGTGCTGTATTAAACGTATTTGTACAACGAAGATATACACGACTGCAGCAGGAATAGTATCGAGCGAACTAGATTCCATTGAACACGACCACGATCCATCAAACGTATACAAAATTAAAATAGGCAAATTGTGAGTACGGCGTGTAAACGTAAGGCAATAGATGATGCCCATACTTATCCAAAAAAAATTATACTAAAAGAGTTACCACAAAATAGTTCTTTTATAGAGAATTTCACCAATGACGATTTAAATAAAATTAGAAATGTTATATATGACAGTTGTAGAAAAGTTCTTCCAGTTATTCCTAAAAATATTATTGAAGCTCATTTAGCTTTAGAAAATACGAATGTAATAACTTGTAAAGGTGAACAATTTTTAATTCTAAATTATCAAATAAAAAATGTTGTTATTTTTTCATGGGATACAAATTTAAAAATGTTATGTGAGGTCGATTCAATTTACGTTTACGGAACATTTAAATGCTGTGCTCGATTTTGGACTCAAATGTTTACTATACATGGCTCTAAAAATGGAAATTATATACCATTGGTTATTTGTTTGTTGCCCGATAAAATAACTGAAACTTATGCATATGTGTTTAATCAAATTATCAATAAATGTAATCGAATCGGAGAAACTTTTTTACCCAAACAAGTAGTAATTGATTTTGAAATGTCAATACATATTGCCGTTACGAAAGTTTGGCCTTCAAGTCATATAATTGGTTGTAGATTTCACCTCACGCAGTCATGGTGGCGAAGCATACAAAAATTTGGTTTAGTCAGTGATTACAATGATAGTTCATCAATTATTGGTACATGGTTACATAGTACATTTGGTTTAATATTTTTAGAGCCTGCAGAAGTTTCTGACTGTTTTGTTGAGGATTTAATGGAAGATTGTCCAATTGATGCTAAATTAACAAAATACTGTGATTATTTAACTGAACATTATATTTCAGAAGACAGTACTTTCCTCCTAAGCTTTGGGCATGTAATTCTTCAAGTCTTAGGCTAACTACGAATACATGCGAATCATTTCACTCGCACTTTAATAAAAACTTCAATACAAAATTACCGTCTATCATGCGATGGTTGAATATTATTCTCCAAGTTTAAGTCGACATTTATATTAAAATAAATAGTCTACAGTTTTTGAAAATTTCGAAAGAACACAAGCGACAAGAAATTAACCAATCAAAAATTATGAAATACAAATCTGGTCGGCTCACACGATACGAATTTATAAAATCTATGTGCCATAACTTTGACAAATAATTGGATTTTTAATATTATAGTATTTTTTTAAGATGTCTTACACTTATACGTCATATATATCATTTAAAATCTGTTTTCTGTGTTTTTACATATATTATTTACATTGACTATTTTTTTGTTTTTTTTTAAAGTATGTTTTACACTAATCTATATCTGCCATAACTTCGACGAAT